AGAAATTAGGATCTGTGTTACAAAAAAAAAAAAAAAAATCAAACTATGGAAACAAAAAGAATAATATTGAATAATTAAAACATTTCAGTTTATACTTAAAACCATTTAACACATAATACATTAAAATACCAGAATGGCAAGTTAGAATTTCTTAGTTCAGCAATTTCAAATTATGCAGATTAAAAATTTATACACATATCTTAAAAAGGCAGTAGATACTAACTATAGAATAAAGCTATACTAGATTTGTTCTGGCTCATAATACTGTAAGATTAGAATTAATTAGGTATGGAACTGGAGAGATGGCTCTGTGGTTAGAACTGGCTGCTCTTGCAGAGTAATAGAACCACCCATAATTCCAGTTCCAGAGGATCTGACGCCTTCTTCTGACCTCCATGGACACTGCAGGACATGGGTACACTTACATACATGCAGGTAATACACACACATTAAAATGGAGTTAGAGGTAAGAGTCGATTAGAGATAAGAGAATTAGAGATAAACTGTAAAGCAAATAATGCAGACATAAATACACACAAAAGGAGTCAAGGTAACGATGATAGACAATTGTTTATTTCAAAATTGCTAGTAAGAGAGCATTTGGAGTGTGCCAATTCAATGTACTCCACAGTGAATAACTGTGTAAATGTCACACTGCAACCCAAAATATGTACAATTTTGTCAACTAAAAAGTGAAAATGGGCTGCAGAGATTGCTCAGTGGTTAAGAGCACTGGCTGTTCTTGCAGAAGACCAAGGTTCAAGCATCCCGGCCAACAAGCATCCATTAACTCTAGTTCCAGGGGACTCTGACGCCTTCTTCTGACCTCCACAGGCATTGCACAACATGGGTACACTTACATACATGCAGGCAATACACTCACACACACAAAATAATGGAAAACAGGGCTGAGCGTGTTGCTCCATGGCACAGTGAAGTCTCTGGGTTCAATCTATATACATTGTCTCATTGGCAATTTTTCTTTTTTTTTTTCTTCGCAACAGTCAGTATAACTATGACAAGTCCTGAATTGGCAAGTGTCATACAGGTGACCAAGACGGCCATAACCAGACACCTAAAGATGCTTTTTCATCACTCTGGCTCATTGACAATTTTAAAAATGGAACTTTGAATTGATACAGTGCATGTTCTTTAAAAGGATAAAACTCTACAGTTTACTAGACTGCCAAAGACATCATGGACTCTCCTCTCATGTGAAGTATAGTATTTCTACTGGCTTGATTATCTAATCATGAATAATATTTTCTTAAGATTAACAAGCAGTGTAATTTTATGAAAGCCAAACTGCCTGTCTGGTCAGTTAGAATAGTTAATGAACACTAGAAACATTTCCAAAGCAATCCTAGAATTCCAGCCAGTATTTTAAAAATTAAAAAAATACTTCCAGATTAATAAAAGAATAAAAGCTCAAGCCTCCAAGTTTATTATACACCCCAACAGTTATTTTTAAAATATTTACTTCATGACCAGAGTTAAGTCTTTCATTTGAACCAATGACTAATATAGACAGGCTGTAATGAAAAGTCTGCTTTCAATGAAACATTAAAAAAACAAACAAACAAAAAAAAAAAACTATGCCATTTAACGTGACTTAAATATCCTATTTAAGTGAAGTAGTAGGTAAAGAAACCTAATAAGTTCTCAAGTGAAAACATTAAGATTGCAGATATGCTACATTAAACTTGGCTAAATAAAATATTTTCTATTATTTCCAAGGGGTTTATAGGTGATCTAAGAATATAAAATTAACAGTAATCTAAAATTTCAACTGGGCCAATTCATCCATGACAATCATTGATAACCTTAAATCAACAAGGACATTTCTAATTAGCTGCCATCAACATCTTGTTTAAGTAACATCACTGTGGCATTGAGAGTTACAGACCTAAGAGAGAAAGTCTAATAAAAGCAATTATTATGAATTAATGGAAACCCAAGGCACCTCAGCATTCATCAGGAACACTACATTATAAAAACAAGCTAGGACATGATATAATACATCCGTTTTAAATTGGAGAAACCCAAGAAAACGAACAATTCCAAAGTTTGAACTGCACTGGTTTGACCTGAATGATTCTCTTGTTGTTCCTGCCCTGCCCAGGGTATGAAGCAACCGTGTCCAGCATAAATAAGTTGCACATGGGACTCCCCTCCCACTTTCCTAAGCATCAAATTGACCTTTGCGTACTATGTTTGTATTCAAGAAGCCATTATTTTATTAATAGCCGTAACACACAAAAGTGGTGATGCTAATTCCAATGTGTCAAAGTAGAGATGCTAAAAAGTCCGATGTGATACTCATAAAAGCCACAAAGTATTTCCTTAAGTGAAATGGTAAACATTCTCAAGGAAAATATCAGATGCTGAAGATGCTAAGTTCTATAGAAAGAATGAATTTCCTGTCAGTGAAAATGTGTAGCACATAAAGGAAGTTCAAGCTAATTCTGCTGTTGTGTTGTAACTCAAATTGGAAAAGCTATGAACAGAAAAAAGCAAAAACAAAAAACATGACTAGGTTAAGACTGAATAGGAATTAAAATTTTAGGGTTAGGAGCTCTGTAGTTTTAGCACCTAAAGGAGGTACCTTGGAGAACAAACATTACGCATATTTCAAAAAACAGAAATTCTTTCAGGGGCTAGGGAGATGGTTCAGTCAGTGAAGTCCTTGCTGCATGAGCATGAAGACCTGAGTTCAGATCCCCAACACCCATGTAAAAAGCCAGACACAGCAGCATGTGCCAATGTAATCCTAGGCTGAGAAGGCGGAGACAGGTTTCCCGGGGCTCACTCGAGGACCAGCTACTCTATTCTGATTAGTGAGCTCTAAGTTCAGTGAAAGACTCATCTGAAAAGAGGATGAATAGCGAGGAATAATAAGGTAATGACACCAGATGTCAACCTCTGGCCTACACATGCACACACACAGGAACACAGAGGCAATAAACCTTTTATTGTAAAGTTGCACTGTGTGTTAAAGAACATGTATTTCAAGAGACCCCCAAAACTCCCTTTCCTACATTGGGCTGGCTCACACCCCTGTGATGCCAAGAAAGAAAGACAGCAGTCAAGGGTATTAAAAATAATGCACCCTCAAGAGCAGATAAAGAATTTCTAACACAGGTGACTTATTGTTTATCCCATGACATAAAAATGGCTCTTGTGGAAATGGGAGGTAGCAGCTCATCCATGGAACATACAGTCTATACTACCTGGAAATTTCTCAACCAGAAATCCCACCATGACTGTTAGCAGGGTTGCTACTAGTCATTTCTGCTAGATTCTGTAAGAGCCAGATTTGACGGTGTTTTGCTATTTATCTGTGGCTATTTGCTTTTACGTTTGCTTGCTGTTTAATAAATTTGACTCTCGCAAGACCAGAGTATAGGGCTGCTGTAGTTTACTCGTTGTGCAGAACACATGCACACTTCAAAGACTTACCTTTGCTCTCGCAAAGTTGCTTGAATTTCACATACTCGGACTAAAGATCTTAAATTCTTTAATTCAGTACAAATTTCTGACATGTGAACACTTCCCATATTATGGGCTTCTTCACGCAATCTTGATGCCTGCAAGAAATTAAGCTCACATAAAATACAGTATTAACACAGACTAAAGAATGTATGTACTTGCGCTGAAATTGAAGAATAATCATTTCCCTGTCTGAGCACAAAAATGTCTTCAATAGTGAAAGGTATTTTGGTTTTCCTTTCAGGGTTCTTAAGAAAATTATCATTTCAGTTAGACAGGGAGGTGGCCCACACCTACAACTCCAGTAGTCTAGTGGTACAAGTGGTAGGGCACTGAGTTCCAAAGCCAGTCAGGAGTACACAGCATGTTTCAGGCCAGCTAGCATCAATTAAAAAAGAGACTGAGAAATAACACTTTCAATCTCAGGATAAGTAGTACAATTAGAAAAGTATTCATAATCTGTGGTTTAGTAGAAGATGCTAGGTCAAAGGGACAGGCAACCTGGAAGTCTATGTAGAGTACCAAGGAAAGATCTATACAATATTTTTACATGCTGACTTATACCATATGGCGTCTGTCAATTTTGAGTATGTCTCAGGTGATCAGTTATTGATAACTGGAGAAGTAAATGTGCTAAACTGAAAATTTCTCAAGGCCTCTCAACTCCTTGCAAAAGTTCAGGGACCCTAGAATAACCAATTTTGTCTTTAGGACTTGGATGATAAAAGTCAACATTTAGACTGCTTATTAGCTCAATAAAAGCAGAAAAAACAAATACAAGGCACTTAACTGTAGGAACAATCGCTGGATATTGGATTATGACAGCTATAAAATTAAATTTGTGAAACCACACAAACTCAAACTATTGTTATAAACTTTATGCAATTGTAATTATTACTTTCTAGAAAGCACTCTACTCACAATAGTCCAAACTACTTTTCTAAATGCAGACTTTTTCTAGTCATCTGCTATGAACCACATAACATACCTGCTTCTCTGCATGATCTGCAGGCCATCCTTGAACATGTTTTATGAGATTTTCGTTGAAGTGTGCTGCTAGCGTAGGTGTTAAGGAACACGCAGGACGAGCAGTTGTATTCTGTGGTACAACTGTTGCATTTGATGCATTACTACTAGAAGTATGATTTGGACCAGGTGATGGACTTCTCTGGCTACTGGAAAACAATGTGTAGAATGTTGCTAAGTAGTTACTAGGTATCCTAGACCTCCAAATTCTTATAGAAATTTTGTGATTTTATTATCAAGTAGAATCACCAATCCAAAGTACATTTATACCACGCATTACTCAGTACACTTTTAAGAGGGGCGTCTACAGTCCTTTGAAAACTGACATCAAAGTCAAATTTAAAATCACATTATCTCAAATGATAGCTGAACCCACTGGCCTTGCATACCACAAACATATAAGGTCATACTTTTATAGTCAAAGATATAAGACACACTTGAATACTTTATCTCATATATATCTAAATAGTGAAATGTATTTGTTCACTATCAGAATATTCTTGAAATCAGAGTACAAAATACATCAAGCAAAATTCAGGTGTTTGGTCTCATACAATGAGACCAAAAAAGCCACACACTAAGATCATTTGTCTTCCTTTAAAACTAAATGATTTGGGCCAGGGTTTAGGGATACATGGTGGTGAAAACCAAAATTTTAATCACCGAAGTTGATTTCCTACCTGCTTCACCAGACTTGGCTCTGAATGAATTTCAGTTATTTCCAAAAACTAAATCTCCCAAAAGATGAAGAGTTTTCATCACTGAGGATATTTAAAATAATACTGCAGCCTCTAAAGACAATTTAAAGGAAGAATTTCCCAAAACTGTTCTGAGCAATGGAAACATTGCTGAAGTAGACAGCTTCCCAAGGTGATTATTTTGAAGGGAACAATTCTCGTTTGGATGTGTAAGTTCTGAAATGCTTGTTTAGAAAACAATAAAAACAACAGTTGAAATTATTTTGCCACCTCATAGCAAAAATAGGAAAATCAATCAAATGAAAACCATTCAACAAATTTCATTTAATTGTACTGTTAATGAACAAAGAAAAGTGAAACAATGCACTGCTCTATAAGTACATGAAAAACAATCTGTATAGGGTCAGATTTGAAGTTATTAGGAAAGTACAACACATCAATTTTTGAGGTGACATTTTTGGCTGCATCAATATACTCAAAACTGCTATGAGGTTAAAAAGGAATAATACAGTATCGACAAATATTATAAAGTCATGTGCCTTTCTTGTACAAGCATGACATATTCTGATCTCATCTAGTTAAATTTTTAATGAAGCCAATTCTTATAAATAACCCAGTCTCCACTATTAGAGATAATAATCTATTAGTGTATATCAAGATTTCTTATAAATTACATAACATTTTCAATTAGGCTACCCATGTATTGTCTGTGATTAAGTTCTGCTATATGCATTATTAATAATAGTCAAACAATGGCAGACATCAAAAATAAATAATGTCTCCACACATATATCAACTTACCTTGAGCGCTGAAGACTTCGAGGAGAGACAGGCTCATGACCTTGCTGCTTGTCAGCAGTTACAGGCTGCTGTGTGGCCGACTGTGACAC